AACTGTGCTTTTTTAATATTTATTTTTACATTAAGAAAATAAATAATGTATAACACTAAAATAGTGTCCTTTGAAATACAGGATTACAGGTTATTTAATAAGGATAGAGTACTAAAAAAGAGGGGAAGTAGTGACTTTATATGTAAAATGTGAGTTACAACCTGTTGAAGTTGAGGATACCAAGGATAACAGCAAGGAGATAAAAATCCATTTGGGTTTGTATTAGCAGATATAAAGGGAAAAGACTTTTAGTGGGAATTTGTTACAGACCACCAGATGATACTGATGAAATTAATGAGAAACTTTACAAGGAGATTAAGATTTCAGCTGTTAATGAGGTCATAATTATTGGTGATTTTAATTTCAGGCATATAGATTGGGAAACACTAGAGTCAAGCCATGATGAAGAAGAAAAGTTTTTGGAAACTGTTCCTTCACATACTGGTCAAGGAGCCTACTAGAAACAATGCAATTTTAAATTATTAACTCCTAATATAGAAATTATTAAGACAGTGGAAAATGGTGAAGATCTTGGTGCAAATGATCATTGCTCTGTTGGTTTCAATGTTTTGCTACATATGAAGATAAAGAATACCAATATTTGTTACAAGTTTCAAAAAAGCTAATATTGAAGGGATGCAAAACAAATTATCTGTTGTGATTTGAACAGCTGAGACACTGATCAAATGTGGAAAATTTTTAAATACTGAAGATAAACATATTCCTTACAAAACAAAAATGGTGGATGCAAGTAAAAAAACCAAGTTGGCTTACAAAGGGTACAAGGGATAAAATTAGAGAAAATCATCACAAATTTAAATTGACTGGTATGACAGGAGATTTATAAGATTATAGAAGATCAAAAAAGTTGGTCAAACGGGAAATTAGGGCAACAAAAAGGATATATGAAAAAAGGCTGGCTAAAAAATGTAAAAATTAACAATAAGGATTTCTTTAAATACATTAAGGGTAAACAAAATGTTAGGATGGGGGTAGGAACATTGAAAGATGATAAAGGAAGGTTTGTATCTGATGATTATGAGATGGTTGTGATATTAAATTCTGCTTTTTTTCTCCAGTTTTTACTAATGAAGATTTAAGTAATATTCCTCATCTTCAACAGCTGATATATGGATACAAGGCTGAAGAAGATTACTGCATTAATTCCAAGCTTGTTAATAAAAAAATTGGGATGTTTAAAGAATGATAAGTCTCTTGGGCCAGATATTTCCCCAAAGGTTTTGAAGAATGTTAAGGATTGGATATGTGAGCCACGTGCTACTATTTTTCATAAGTCCTTGAATAGTAGGAAGGAGCCAAAGTATTAGTAGTTAAGGTCACTCTTCTTTTCAAGCGAATACAATTTGTCCTAGTAATTATCAAACT